CCTGGAAAAAATCCTCCTCCTTCCTGAAAACCCGCTCCTGCTTAAAGCTGTATAGAGAGGTCACTTGAGTTTTGTCCGTGATGGAAAACAAATATCACAAAAATTATAATAAAGAACAAAATATAGGATCTTTTTTACAACAATTTCTAGAGGATATGTAAGCGGTTAGACCTCAAACAATATTTTTGATCATTTCGAAAATTTTCTCCTTCGGAACTTTTGCATTCGTGAGATCTCCTTTAATAACGTTTTTTTTTTGGGTAAAAATCGAAAGGGAAATTTCTAAAAAGGTTACAGTATTCAGAAGGGAAATTCCACCAATGTAATTAGAGATAATTATGTTTTGAACCTGCAGCCTTTAAAATACAACTCACTGGATTCGTCGTACATAATCGTTATTACAGCTTTAAACCAAGGAAACCATACCGGATTTCATATTAATCTAATAAATGTATTATAGACTTTGGTTTTGTCCGTGATGCAAAAACAAATATCACAAACATTGTATTAAAGATAGAAAATAATAACAAAAATAGGTTATTGTTTACAGCAATTTTTCGAGGATATCGGATAGACCAATATCAAAACAATATTTCGATAATTTGAAACAGGCGAAAATTTGCTCCTTCTGAACTTTAAGAGACGTCAGATACCGTATCTCCTTTAATAACGTTTTTTGGTGAAAGAAACGTTCCTGAAAAGTTATTCAGATGGGAAATTCCACCAATGTATTTAGGGATCAATTATAAGGAAACCATACCAGATTTCATATCGATCAAATCTAATCAGGTTTAGTTTCAGTTTCTTTATTTAAATCAAAATCGTGGTCAATGCGGAATTACATGATATTTACAAAAACAAAATGTACATTAAAACATTTTAAAAAAATCAATCAAGCAAAAGCACATGGCATGAAAAATGGAGAAAGAATGACATAAAAATTCATCAAAATTTGAAACATCACATAATTAAATCAATCATTTCTATTGTATCATTATTATTACAGTGTTATTTATAACTATATTGTATTATTAATTATTGCATCATTATTATCATCAAATATAGAAACTAACGAAAAAAAAAAAAATAATCCAAGCACAAGAAATTCGATTACCATTAAAATTTCACCCAAATATTATAAAAGAAAAAAGCGACATTAAAAATGGGGCAAAATTTATATCACAATATAAAGAAATATAACTTAAAATTTATTTAAATATTACTTTCATTGTTATATTATTTTCATATACAATGTTTAATTATACTGCAACTAAGTGAAAATTATTCACTTAGGATTGAAGTAAGAAATGGTATTGCTTTTCCGATACATTACCACTCCACATTTTGGATGATGATACCTCAGTCTTGTAGGTTTCTTATTGTTATTGTTAACAATATTAAACCATTTTTTTAAATGATTACTTTTCATAAAATTCTGGGCGAACTTACAACAGAGATTGTACCTTCTTTCAGATACTTTGTTTTTTTTTTCAAAAAAAAAAAAAAAAAAAAAAAAAAATGCTCCCTAAAAAAAAAAAAGCTCCCTGAGCGACTGGGCATACCAAATGTACCCATGGCTTAATATTATATTGCAAGCCCCTTTTTTGGATTGATTCAATCATATTACTTCGTTGTATAGTAAGACCAGAATGCCATACAAGTAAGGCATACTCGACACTCGGTCTTATGTAAAGCTCTGTCTACACTATCAAATTTCCTTTGACAAAAAAATGTGACATACCCATATATAGTAATGCTATGCCTATATATGGTCATGGTGTGATGTCATCATGACCATATTTGGGCATGTCACATGTTTTTGTCACACAAAATTTGATAGTGTGGATAGAGCTTAACACTTAAGCTGCCGAATTCGGTTCGTATGGTTAACGAAACGAAAAAAGAATATCGAATCAGTGGTAAAGAATAGAGGCGCGTTCTAAGACGCGCATCGAAAACGTTCTACGAACAGAATTCGGATTCGGTGTGAATCTGCCTTTATACACTTTAACAAGGTCATGCTTTGGTATATTGAAATAGTAATAGTAAGCATTAACGATAAAAAAAAGTATCTCAATTTTTTGGTGACTAGAAACAGTAGCCACCACTTCCCCCTGTACACACCTTTGCTTGTAGGTTATACGTCTGCACATGTTATGTAGATTAAAAGAGAACTAGCAAAATGATTTTTTTGTTCTAGAGGGGAATTTTGATATGCCATTAATAACAGAATCAACCTTAAAATCGTTTTTTGGCAATTTCTTATGAAGTTATAGACCATTATATATTATTTAATCGTGACGTCACTGGCGAAAAATGTAACAAAAGATCGTGCAAATAAAACCGTGTAGGTATCCGCCGCGTACGATCTTTGCGTGCATGCTGTAACCATGGCTGTAACTCATTTGT